TTAAATAAAACATCTATACCTTCCAGGTATGAACAACACAGCAGACTGCTGAGGATGGTTTTGAACACATTAGCAAACTGTAGGTGTTTTCCTGTAACATGTTGTATATTCATCCTTCTGTTTCTTCCAAAGATAATATTACGTATTGAAGAGGGAAGAATGAATCACATCCCAAATTTCCAACAGACAATCTTTTAAAAAGTATTTGTGGGCCATCTCACTCCGTCACTTTGAGAACTACATAGTGAAGACACCAATGTGACAAAAGATGCAATAATATCGGGATGAGTGGAGATGAATCGGGGTGGAGAAAGGCTGCAAAGGGTTAAACCATTTAAACAGAATCCTACACAGACAGAAAAGTTTCTCCATCAATTTCATTTTCTCCAAGGACACACAAAAATGAGGAAGAAGAGATGAAAAACATGTTATATGGGGAAAGGAGTTATTTCTTATGACTTTGGGGAACATAAAAACTGCAACCGAATTAAAGAAAAAAGATTTATCCATCTCCAGAATATAACCAGATAGACTTGGACTTTGTTTCAGAGAACCAAAATATAACTGTTACATATCTGGAAGAGCTTGTCCTCAGCTCCTTCTCTCATTTTTTTTCTATTGGCTCTAAAACAAAAGAAACCTACCAGGGTTTTTTTTCCCCCACAGACACAAAAAGTAGGTTCATCATTTCGTTCAAAATTTGGCTAGTAACTGCTTAAAAATGACCATTTAAATTCTCAGACAACATAATCATCTCAAAAATCTTAGTCTATTTAATCAAAACTATCAGCACATCTATGTAAAGTGATACGGGGCCTTCCTTAGCGATTAAGGAATTACCAGTACTGAAAGAGAAAGGTCTGCTCTCCAGGTGTTCAAATTTAATTGAGTGTATTGGTTAGTGAAGCATTTATTTAAATCTCATATTGCCAGGAACTGAAGGGTAAGAAGAATAAAACATCATCTCTGTCCTCAAGGAATTCCCCCTTTAATGGGAGACACCTCTGTCTGTCTACCTATCTACACACACACATACACACACACACACCTTATATGTGATTAAGAAAAACAATATGATAAGTGCTTTAATGCACATCTGAAAAATTGCAAGAGAAAGGAACCGGAAGTACCCACCAGGAAAGGTGGGTGGCAGGGCATGGGGTTGGTGAGGGAACGGGGCGGAGGAGACCTCCAGGAAGGTGATAAAGGGGTGGTCCTGAAGGACGAAGAGAAGGAGTGGAGGACACGTGGTCAGGGACGCGGAAGAGACAGGTGCTGGCCTTGAATAGGGTGGAAACTTTATTTCGNTTTCAACCATTTAAAAATGTAAAAGCAATTCTCAGGTTGTGGGCTGGACAGAACGAGGCGGGGAGCTGACTGACCCACAGGCCCCAGCTTACAGCCCCTGACCCAGCACTCCTGGGAGAGGACCAGGGACTTTGTGACAGCGCGTCCCCCAGGAGGAGACAGTACGCAGGAGGTGCTTATTTCCTTGCTATTAACGTACGATATGTCACTATAGTTAGATAAATAACAAAGGATGATGGGACAGAAGCAACTCCCTTGCATCCGTTTTTTTAGATGTACCCAATTAAGTTTAGTAAAAGAATGACGGCCCCTTGTCGTATTTTAATCTTCTGTTTAACTTGGGCAATTTGGACCATACGTTTATCTGAGGCACGTGTCACCGAAGCAGCCAAGTGCTCAAATCAAATAAACAACTGTGGTCAAGTTCACAGGCATTTTTACAGAGTGCAGTGAGCCCTTGAAGAGGGCAGGGGGGTGGGGGGTGGCGTGCTGAACTGCATTATTGGGCCAGGTTTTCAGTTCCACGGCAGAAGCAAGCCACGATGGGATGCTGCAAAATTCTCTAAACAAGTCTCTTTTACTTTGTCTGACAGAGATATGGAATGGGGTGGAATACGTGCCAATTGGGGAGGTGAGTGAGGTGTGATAGATGGTTTTTCAGAGAAAATACCTGGGTATCAAGACCTCTAGATGGGTGTTTCTCAAAGTGAGGCCCAGGGCTCATACACAGGAATCTCCTGGCGTCCTCATTAAAGCCACAGAACCCCCTGCCCAGGCCAGACCCCCTGAAACAGAACGCCTGGGCGCGGGGCCAGGGACCTGCGCTGTGACCACCTCTTGGGTGTTTTCAGTGCACACACGTCTAAAGGCCCAGCCTGAGGAGGTGGGCACCAGCGCCACCCATCGCGGAGCGCCTACCTTGCCCCGGTCGAAGCTCTGGATGGCGGTCAGGTGCAGTAGCTCCTTCCGCTGCCACTCCGTCTGCACGGGGTAGCTCAGGAACTCCCGCAGGGGCCGCTCCGACCACTCCAGCAGCTCGTCGTACAGCAGGAGGGTGTAGGCGGCCTCTGCAAGTCAGGGGGGAGGCAGTGGTCACGACAGGGCCCCAGACAGCCTCCCCTCGCGTGGGGCTGCTCGGTGGCAAATCGGAGAAAACAACACGTCCTGTATTTCAGGATACTGAAGAAAAATGTCCAGCATCTATGCAACAGCAGGTTAATGATGATGACGTCCGCGGAAGGTGGAATTACCAGAGACTTGTACCTAATCTTTTGGCTCCCCGTATTCACTCACTCACTCATTCATTCATTCATTCATTCATTCATTCATTCATTCATTCATTCATTCATATTTCCTTTCTCTCTCTCTCTCTCTCTCTCTCTCTGACCTTCTCGTCCCCTCCTTTCTTTTTCCTACAATGCTGTACGCTAACCATGATACAAATGTTGAAGGATGCTTGTTGTAGCTGCGATACAGGGACAACATGCCTTTGTTTTTAGGGAAGTTCACCGGGGAGTCCCCTGAAGTGGGGCTATGGGCATCTTCCAAAGGGCACGCTTAGGAAACCAAAATGGCAGCTACATCCTTCCGGATAATAAAAGGCTGAGAGACCTGAAAATGGCGTTGGGGGAAAGGGTCAGGGTGCAGGCAGAACTTAGGAGGGGCAAAGAGGCTAGTGAGCTAGCTGAGTGCAAGAAGAAACGGAAGAAAACCCCAGCAGCAGAGGAGGGGTCGGGAAGCCCAGAAGTGTTGCACGAGGGTGTGCGCGCGTGTCTGTGCGTGAGGGGGCAGGAGGGAAGGAACGCACAGCTGCGGTGGGCTGTGTGACATGACTCCCTGGTCGGCCCCCCAGATCTTCAGCAATGGCTGCTGAAGTCGTTACATGTTGGGTGTGGTTGGGATTTCTTGGGGAAACATGGAAAGGGGTGATTTTCCGTATATTCATGTGGAAATGGTCACCTATGGGCTGAAGCATAGTTGACAGGTAGTATATTTAATAAAATACTTGCCATTTTGTAGGTCTCTTCTTCCCCTGAACCATAAATATGGCCAAATAGATCAAGAAAAGGAACCAGAATTCATTGCCACTGATGCACTATAATATTAATAAATGTTTTCCCTCTAACACTGTAATAGCCAACTCATTTATTAAATTGAATAAAATGGACAGACCCTTATGTTATTAATCCATGTAACTACCATCCCTATACATATCTCAAAAGATATAACAGCAGCTTTTAACACAATATCAATAAATCGTGATTCTTTTTCTTCATTTACTCTTAAGCATAACCACATACAGAGCTCTAAAGTAACGTGGTAATTCTACTACTATTACTTGGCCCTCTCAATGTATAAAATATAGCTGTAATAAGAAAGGCCTGGGGCGGCTGGTAAGCTCAGGTGGCTGGTTAGCTAGAGCGCAGTGCCCGTAACACCAAGGTTGCCGGTTCGATTCCCACATGGGCCAGTGAGCTGTGGAGCTGCGCCCTCCACAACTAGATTGAAAACAACGACTTGACTTGGAGCTGATGGGTCCTGGAAAAACACACTGTTGCCCAATAAAAAAAAAAAAAAAAGGCCTGGGTCCCTTTCCCTTTTCTCTTGCCTCTTAAGTGTAGCCGTCCCATGAGACAGGCTCTGGCCTTGGTTCTCTTTGCCTTTGATGGGGCTCGATCTCCTGACTTCTATGATTGTTGCGAAAACTTTCGCAGCTCACCCGCAATCTCTCCCCTCCCCCCATTCAGTGTACACACTGTTACCTGCATGATCTTCCTTCAACGAAAATGATCTGTTTGCTCCCTGATTAAAACCAGCCAACGACTCTCAGTAGCTGACAGAATACATGGAAGCTTCCTAAAGTGACAGAGAAGGGGGGCCATGATCTGGTCCCCGCCAGCCTCTCCGCTGACCACTGTCCCTCCACAATGCAGGTAAGAAGGAGCCCA